AAGAGACTTAAAGCCGAAAATTGTTTTCAATGTTTACATTTGACATTTTGATCGTTTGACAAGAGTTAACCGAGTTACAAGAAAGTAGGAATGAGCCAAGAATCCATGCTTGAGCATGAGAATGGTTTCATGAATACGGGCCCAGATTTCTAATCGTATTACCACTTGTAAGGTAGTCAAATATATTGCAGCAACGCATCAGGACAAAATCAGAAATAAAAGATAGCAAAATGTCATTAACTAACGGAGACCGAGAAGTCTTAACACAGCACCACGTAATACAGTCGTCATCAAGGAAAGTATACAGGTCAACAACATTTCCCTCTCTATATGTAGAAGGCTCTCCGATAGAACACTAGGTATCATGAATCTGTCCCATCAGTGTGTGGAAAACTATAACTGCTGTCCGGTTGTCAACTTTAAACAGTAACGAGGCCTAAATTTTGCCGCGAGTCCACGATTTTAACGGCCCATACTGAGAAAAAAGATTATACCTGAAGTGGTATGTAAGGTATGCTACAAACCTTCAATGCAACGTTTTACAGTCACAGCTGTGTCTGATGTACTGTACTTTGTAGTCACAACTGTGTCTGATGTACTGTACAACGTTGTACAGTCACAGCTGTGTCTGATGTACTGAACTTTGTACAGTCGAAGCTATGTCTGATGTACTGTACTTGTACAGTCACAGCTGTGTCTGATGTACTGTACTTTGTACAGTCCCAGCTGTGTCTGATGTACTGTACAACGTTGTACAGACACAGCTGTGTCTGATGTTCTGTACTTTGTTCAGTCACAGCTGTGTCTGATGTACTGTACAACGTTTTATAGTCACAGCTGTGTCTGATGTACTGTACTTTGTTCAGTCACAGCTGTGTCTGATGTACTGTACAACGCTGTACAGTCACAGCTGTGTCTGATGTACTGTACAAAGTTGTACAGTCAGAGCTGTGTCTGATTTACTGTACAACGTTGTACTTTGTACAGTCACAGCTGTGTCTGATGTACGGTACAACTTTGTACAGTCAGAGCTATGTCTGATGTACTGTACTTTGTACAGTCACAGCTGTGTCTGTTGTACTGTACAACGTTTTACAGTCACAGCTGTGTCTGATGTACTGTACTTTGCACAGTCACAGCTGTGTCTGATGTACTGTACTTTATACAGTAACAGCTGTGTCTGATGTACTGTACTTTGTGTACAGTCACAGCTATGTCTGATGTACTGTACTTTGTACAGTCACAGCTATGTCTGATGTACTGTACAACGTTGTACAGTCAGAGCTGTGTCTGATTTACTGTACAACGTTGTACGGTAACAGCTGTGTCTGATGTACTGTACTTTGTACAGGCACAGCTGTGTCTGATGTACTGTACAACGTTGTACAGACACAGCTGTGTCTGATGTTCTGTACTTTGTTCAGTCACAGCTGTGTCTGATGTACTGTACAACGCTGTACAGTCACAGCTGTGTCTGATGTACTGTCCTTTGTACAGTCACAGCTGTGTCTGATTACTGTACTTTGTACAGTAACAGCTGTGTCTGATGTACTGTACAACTTTGTACAGTCACAGCTGTGTCTGATGTACTGTCCAACGTTGTACAGTCACAGCTGTGTCTGATGTGTTGTACAACGTTGTACAGTCACAGCTGTGTCTGATGTTCTGTACAACGTTGTACAGTCAGAGCTGTGTCTGATTTACTGTACAACGTTGTACGGTAACAGCTGTGTCTGATGTACTGTACTTTGTACAGGCACAGCTGTGTCTGATGTACTGTACTTTGTACAGGCACAGCTGTGTCTGATGTACTGTACTTTGTACAGTTACAGCTGTGTCTGATGTACTGTACAACGTTGTACAGTACAGTTGTGTCTGATGTACTGTACTTTGTACAGTCACATCTGTGTCTGATTACTGTACTTTGTACAGTCACAGCTGTGTCTGATGTACGGTACAACTTTGTACAGTCAGAGCTATGTCTGATGTACTGTACTTTGTACAGTCACAGCTCTGTCTGATGTACTGTACAACGTTGTACAGTCACCGCTGTGTCTGATGTGCTGTACAACGTTGTACAGTCACAGCTGTGTCTGAAGTACTCTACGACGTTGTACAGTCACAGCTGTGTCTGATGTACTGAACTTTGTACAGTCGAAGCTATGTCTGATGTACTGTACTTGTACAGTCACAGCTGGGTCTGATGTACTGTACTTTGTACAGTCACAGCTATATCTGATGTACTGTACAACGTTGTACAGTCACAGATGTGTCTGATGAACTGTACAACGTTGTACAGTCACAGCTGTGTCTGATGTACTGTACTTTGCACAGTCACAGCTGTGTCTGATGGACTGTACAACGTTGTACAGTCACAGCTGTGTCTGATGTGTTGTACAACGTTGTACAGTCACAGCTGTGTCTGAAGTACTCTACGACGTTGTACAGTCACAGCTGTGTCTGATGTACTGAACTTTGTACAGTCGAAGCTATGTCTGATGTACTGTACTTGTACAGGCACAGCTGTGTCTGATGTACTGTACTTTGTACAGGCACAGCTGTGTCTGATGTACTGTACAACGTTGTACAGTCCCAGCTGTGTCTGATGTACTGTACTTTGTACAGTGACAGCTGTGTCTGATGTACTGTACTTTGTACAGTCAGAGCTGTGTCTGATGTACTGTACACCATTGTACATTCACAGCTGTGTCTGGTTTACTGTACAACGTTGTACAGTCACAGCTATGTCTGATGTACTGTCTACAAACCTTCAATGCAACGTTTTACAGTCACAGCTGTGTCTGATGTACTGTACTTTGTTCAGTCACAGCTGTGTCTGATGTACTGTACAACGCTGTACAGTCACAGCTGTGTCTGATGTACTGTCCAACGTTTTATAGTCACAGCTGTGTCTGATGTACTGTACTTTGTTCAGTCACAGCTGTGTCTGATGTACTGTACAACGTTTTATAGTCACAGCTGTGTCTGATGTACTGTACTTTGTACCGTCACAGCTGTGTCTGATGTACTGTCCAACGTTTTATAGTCACAGCTGTGTCTGATGTACTGTACTTTGTAGTCACAACTGTGTCTGATGTACTGTACAACGTTGTACAGTCCCAGCTGTGTCTGATGTACTGTACAACGTTGTACATTGATGTACTGTGCAACGTTGTACAGTCACAGCTGTGTCTGATGTTCTGTACAACGTTGTACAGTCAGAGCTGTGTCTGATTTACTGTACAACGTTGTACAGTAACAGCTGTGTCTGATGTACTGTACTTTGTACAGTGACAGCTGTGTCTGATGTACTGTACTTTGTACAGGCACAGCTGTGTCTGATGTACTGTACTTTGTACAGTGACAGCTGTGTCTGATGTACTGTACTTTGTACAGGCACAGCTGTGTCTGATGTACTGTACAACGTTGTACATTGATGTACTGTGCAACGTTGTACAGTCACAGCTGTGTCTGATGTACTGTACAACGTTGTACAGTCAGAGCTGTGTCTGATTTACTGTACAACGTTGTACAGTAACAGCTGTGTCTGATGTACTGTACCACGTTGTACAGTCAGAGCTGGGTCTGATTTACTGTACAACGTTGAACAGTACAACAGACACAGCTGTGACTGTTCAACGTTGCACAGTACATCAGACAGAGCTGTTTCTGTACACCGTTGTACAGTCACAGCTGTGTCTGATGTACTGTGCATTCGGGTGCAGAATCACGTATATCGACGTTTGAGTGAAGATATAAAAAAGTGGTAATATCTCTTATCTTTCTGCATGTTCTTTAACAAAAAATGTTTATATTGTTCTACGACATAAGATGCAGAAAGGGGTGGGGGTTAAAAGCACGACCCCTCCCAACCTCATCCCCCCCTCCCCCGATGCACACACACGCACACACACACACTCACAAACACACAAATATTCAATTTCTCCAATGTGGCGCCAATACATGTATTTATTTTGCAATTATTATGAATCAAGTTTTATAAACTTTTATTCACAGAGAAAAAAATACCCTGAGAACAAAATCAATATGGACGGACAGGTAGACCTTTCACGTCCGATCGGGGAGTCGAAACCCAGTCGTCTTGGTGAAAGGCGAGTGTGCTATCCACTGCGAATGAATACATATTTTAGGTAAAGTAGTGATGATCGATCACCTAAATTACACGTGAAGTTTTATTACTTTGTGATAAGTAACATATCATTTCATAGCGATTACCATGTAAGTAAAACATATACAGTGATGTGAAACCCGCAACTCCAATCGTAAAGTCTACGATTGCCAAGAAATGGATATTTCCTAATTTGTTAACGAGGCCTATTGTAGCATGATTATTTATATAACAAGGGGCATAACTCACACAATCAACCTGGTATAGTGATAGCCTCCCTTTAATCGCCTGTGTATTCTTTTATTTTCAAGGAGGCGACAACTTGGTTATGCCTGGTAGCTAACCGATAACATACGACATACTCATGTAAAATGGTTAAATAAAATGCAATTTTCATCTTCTTCATTAAAACTATAAATATGACTCATTAGTAAAGGATGACTTATGAAGTCTCAGGACGCATTTTCGATACCATAGAGCAGCTACTTAGATACCCTTGATATTTGTAAAATATATTGTACTTTTAGGAGTGAAATTGTCAAAGATAAATAGCCTTATGACATGGAATGTATTAAAATTGAACACATTAATACCGGGTCCACAAGAATTTATATACAAATCAGTTGTGTTCGAATCTTCAACTGACATTGCAAAGTATATACATGTAGTAACACACGAGAAAACATCAACATAAAAAGGAAACGAGGTTGGATAAGTTGAGGGTTTCTGCTTGCGTGCGTAATGGTCTTATTGTAATACTAAGGTTATATATATAATGCAAAAGATGTTCCCGAGGACAGAATTGTAAGGGGTGTTCCCGAGAATTGTAAGGGATAATCCAAAGGACGGACTTCTAAGTGGTTTTCCCTAGGCCAGAATTGTAAGGTTGATCTCGAGGACAGAGTTGAAAGGGGTGTTCCCGAGGACAGAGTTGAAAGGGGTGTTCCCGAGGACAGAGTTGAAAGGGGTCTTCCCGAGGACAGAAATGTAAGGGGTGTTCACGAGGACAGAGTTGAAAGGAGTGTTCCCGAGGACAGAGTTGAAAGGGGTGTTCCCGAGGACAGAAATGTTAGCGGTATTCCCGAGGACAGAAATGTAAGGGGTGTTCCCGAGGACAGAAATGTAAGGGGTATTCCCGAGGACAGAAATGTAAGGGGTGTTCCCGAGGACAGAGTTGAAAGGGGTGTTCCCGGGGACAGAAATGTAAGGGGTGTTCCCGAGGACAGAGCTGAAAGGGGTGTTCCCGAGGACAGAAATGTAAGGGGTGTTCCCGAGGACAGAAATGTAAGGGGTATTCCCGAGGACAGAAATGTGAGGGGTGTTCCCGAGGACAAAGTTGGAAGGGGTGTTCCCGAGGACAGAGTTGAAAGGGGTGTTCCCGAGGACAGAAATGTAAGGGGTGTTCCCGAGGACAGAAATGTTAGCGGTATTCCCGAGGACAGAAATGTAAGGGGTGTTCCCGAGGACAGAAATGTAAGGGGTATTCCCGAGGACAGAAATGTAAGGGGTGTTCCCGAGGACAGAATTGTAAGGGGTATTCCCGAGGAAAGAAATGTAGGGGGTGTTCCCGAGGACAAAGTTGGAAGGGGTGTTCCCGAGGACAGAGTTGAAAGGGGTGTTCCCGAGGACAGAAATGTAAGGGGTGTTCCCGAGGACAGAAATGTAAGCGGTATTCCCGAGGACAGAAATGTAAGGGGTGTTCCCGAGGACAGAAATGTAAGGGGTGTTCCCGAGGACAGAAATGTAAGGGGTATTCCCGAGGACATAAATGTAAAGGGTAATCCCGAGGACAGAAATGTAAGGGTGTTCCCGAGGACAGAATTGTAAGGGGTATTCCCGCGGACAGAATTGTAAGGGGGTGTTCCCGAGGACAGAAATGTAAGGGGTGTTCCCGCGGACAGAAATGTAAGGGTGTTCCCGAGGACAGAATTGTAAGGGGTTTTCCCGAGGACAGAAGTGTAAGGGTGTTCCCGAGGACAGAATTGTAAGGGGTGTTCCCGAGAACAGAATTGTAAAGGGTGTTCCAAAGGACAGAATGTAAGCGTAAGGGGTGTTCCCGAGGACAGAATTGTAAGAGATGTTTCAAAGGACAGAATTGTAAAGGTTGTTACAACAGACAAAATTGTAAGGAATATATCCGAGGACAGAATTGTAAGGGGTGTTCCCGAGGACTGAATTGTAAGGAGATGTTCCCGAGGACAGAGTTGAAAGGGGTGTTTCAAAGGACAAAATTGTAAGGGGTGTTCCCAAGGACAGAATTGTAATGGGTGTTCCCATTGAAAGAATTGTAATAGGTGTTCCCGAGGGCAGAATTGTAAGGGGTGTTCCAAAGGACAGAATTGTAAAGGGTGTTCCAACAGACAAAAGTGTAAGGAATATTTGTTGTTAGGGGTGTTCTAGTCCGAATTATTCTGACGTTTTAACGACTTTTTTCATATCGGTCTGTCGTCGATTAATCGACAACAGACCGATATGAAAAAAGTTGATAAAACGTCAGAATAATTCGGACCAGGGGTGTTCCCGAGGACAGAGTTGTAAGGGATGTTCCCGAGTACGGAATTGTAGTGGATTTTCCGGAGTACAGAGTTATAGGGGAGTTTCTGGGGTACGGAGTTGAACGGGATTGTCCGGAGTACGGAGTTGTAGGGGATATTCCCGATTACAGAGATGAAGGGGATTTTCCGGAGTACTGAATTGTAAGGGATTTTCCTGAGTACAGATATGAAGGGGATATTCCCTAGTACTGAGTTTTAGGGTATATTCCCGAGTACAGATATTTCAGGAATTTCGGAGTACTGAGTTGTAGGGGATGTTCCCGAGTACAGTGATTTAAGGAATTTCCGGAGTACTGAGTTGTAGGGGATGTTCCTGAGTACTGAGTTGTAGCGGATGTTCCTGAGTACAGAGTTGTAGGGGATGTTCCTGAGTATTGAGTTGTAGGGGAGTTTCTGGGGTACTGAGTTGTAGGGGATGTTCCTGGGTATAGAGATGTAGGGGATTTTCCGGAGTACTGAGTTGTAAGGGATGTTCCTGAATACAGATATGAAGGGGATAGTCCTAGTACTGATTTGTAGGGGATGTTCCCGAGTACAGTGCTTTAAGGAATTTCCGGAGTACTGAGTTGTAGGGGATGTTCCTGGGTATAGAGATGTAGGGGATTTTCCGGAGTACTGAGTTGTAAGGGATGTTCCTGAATACAGATATGAAGGGGATAGTCCTAGTACTGATTTGTAGGGGATGTTCCCGAGTACAGTGCTTTAAGGAATTTCCGGAGTACTGAGTTGTAGGGGATGTTCCTGGGTATAGAGATGTAGGGGATTTTCCGGAGTACTGAGTTGTAAGGGATGTTCCTGAATACAGATATGAAGGGGATAGTCCTAGTACTGATTTGTAGGGGATGTTCCCGAGTACAGTGCTTTAAGGAATTTCCGGAGTACTGAGTTGTAGGGGATGTTCCTGGGTATAGAGATGTAGGGGATTTTCCGGAGTACTGAGTTGTAAGGGATGTTCCTGAATACAGATATGAAGGGGATAGTCCTAGTACTGATTTGTAGGGGATGTTCCCGAGTACAGTGCTTTAAGGAATTTCCGGAGTACTGAGTTGTAGGGGATGTTCCTGGGTATAGAGATGTAGGGGATTTTCCGGAGTACTGAGTTGTAAGGGATGTTCCTGAATACAGATATGAAGGGGATAGTCCTAGTACTGATTTGTAGGGGATGTTCCCGAGTACAGTGCTTTAAGGAATTTCCGGAGTACTGAGTTGTAGGGGATGTTCCTGGGTATAGAGATGTAGGGGATTTTCCGGAGTACTGAGTTGTAAGGGATGTTCCTGAATACAGATATGAAGGGGATAGTCCTAGTACTGATTTGTAGGGGATGTTCCCGAGTACAGTGCTTTAAGGAATTTCCGGAGTACTGAGTTGTAGGGGATGTTCCTGGGTATAGAGATGTAGGGGATTTTCCGGAGTACTGAGTTGTAAGGGATGTTCCTGAATACAGATATGAAGGGGATAGTCCTAGTACTGATTTGTAGGGGATGTTCCCGAGTACAGTGCTTTAAGGAATTTCCGGAGTACTGAGTTGTAGGGGATGTTCCTGGGTATAGAGATGTAGGGGATTTTCCGGAGTACTGAGTTGTAAGGGATGTTCCTGAATACAGATATGAAGGGGATAGTCCTAGTACTGATTTGTAGGGGATGTTCCCGAGTACAGTGCTTTAAGGAATTTCCGGAGTACTGAGTTGTAGGGGATGTTCCTGGGTATAGAGATGTAGGGGATTTTCCGGAGTACTGAGTTGTAAGGGATGTTCCTGAATACAGATATGAAGGGGATAGTCCTAGTACTGATTTGTAGGGGATGTTCCCGAGTACAGTGCTTTAAGGAATTTCCGGAGTACTGAGTTGTAGGGGATGTTCCTGGGTATAGAGATGTAGGGGATTTTCCGGAGTACTGAGTTGTAAGGGATGTTCCTGAATACAGATATGAAGGGGATAGTCCTAGTACTGATTTGTAGGGGATGTTCCCGAGTACAGTGCTTTAAGGAATTTCCGGAGTACTGAGTTGTAGGGGATGTTCCTGGGTATAGAGATGTAGGGGATTTTCCGGAGTACTGAGTTGTAAGGGATGTTCCTGAATACAGATATGAAGGGGATAGTCCTAGTACTGATTTGTAGGGGATGTTCCCGAGTACAGTGCTTTAAGGAATTTCCGGAGTACTGAGTTGTAGGGGATGTTCCTGGGTATAGAGATGTAGGGGATTTTCCGGAGTACTGAGTTGTAAGGGATGTTCCTGAATACAGATATGAAGGGGATAGTCCTAGTACTGATTTGTAGGGGATGTTCCCGAGTACAGTGCTTTAAGGAATTTCCGGAGTACTGAGTTGTAGGGGATGTTCCTGGGTATAGAGATGTAGGGGATTTTCCGGAGTACTGAGTTGTAAGGGATGTTCCTGAATACAGATATGAAGGGGATAGTCCTAGTACTGATTTGTAGNAAGATTGTGGACACAAACATACGCCCAAACACGTCTTTTGTGAAACATTTCCTGCCGACCGAGCTGAGCATTTCTATCTGTCTGAGTCACAGGAACGCCATCAATACACACGAGGTTATTCTGTGTGAAGGGTTTGTCTTTATGATTATGGATTATGCTGTCCGCGGTGATCTTCTGACCCTGATTCGACAAAATGGCAGTATGTCGGACATGGAAGCACGCCAGACGTTCTCAGGAATCGCTCAGGGAATTAAGTATCTCCATGATAACGACATATCACACCGGGATATAAAATGTGAAAACATCTTCTTGATGAAGGACAAAACTCCGGTGATCGGGGACTTCGGGTTCGCCAAGCGTGTCCGTCTCGTGAACGGAAAGCCATGTCCCAGCACATCATACTGTGGTAGTATGGCATACGCCTCACCTCAGCTGCTGTTTAACCAACCTTACGACCCAAAGATGAACGATATATGGAGCCTCGGCTGTGTCCTCTTTATCATGATTTGTGCCACCATGCCATACGACGACATGCGCCTGGGTTTAATGCGCAGGAAAAGGGTATTCGAGAAGGTCATGTTTCCGGTCAGGGTAGTAGATAGGCTACATCCAGACTGCAAGGACCTCATCTACAAGATGCTTGAGGCTGAGACTGATCAGAGGTTCATCATAGAGGGTGTTCTGGCGCATCATTGGCTCAAGGAAGTCACATGATATATTTAAACTAGAGAATTGTTCAGCTTTGAGTCAGAGCTCTTCTTAAAATATGATGCAATACATCGTTAAATATCCATGCATGCGGACCTCCTTCGGAGACACTCACCACGCATATAAGCATATATGTATATTTAAATATATTTCAAGCTATATAATAAATATAAACTGAATAGTCTTTATTTTCATAACCAACCCATTTCAATGGTTAAGGTCAACCCTCGGTAAAGTGCCTCTAGATGGTTCTAAGATCCCTGTGGTAAGCTAGCATTACACACAACGTTTGTTGATGGTATCCATGTCTTCTCAAAATGGAGCTTAGTATAGACCTATTGATTACTCTATACTAAAACTAAGCTGGGTTTGTCGGAATGGCTTAAGTGTAAGTAAACAGTGAAAATCGTCATTGCCTCTTCAGCACACTCTAGACTCTCACAGTGTTTCCAGGCAAAGCAGGAGCGTTGGTTCAATAGGTCAAGTGCCGTTCCGCCCGGATGTGTGACGTTATGCATTCCTCGTGTCTCGAGGGTCATGCGCAATGAGAGCTGATCTATCTGTCACCTCAAAGTTTAGTCTAAACATATTTATTGCCAAAAGTAGACAGAGGGATAAGTTACAAGTTTTAAATAAAATACAACTTACCAACGCCTTCTCCAAATACACATTTTCAATGATACAGTCGTAAATACAATTTGAACTCCAAATCTCTGGCTGGATTTAATAAATTTGCACATATCTGAAGTCCACGGAAAATAGGGAATGTCAAACAAAACTATTTCGTAATTTAACGCAACATTCAAATTATTTAAATTTTGAACCAGAATACGTCTTTCAATCGTAAAAAGTTGACATTCCAAAAAGTAGTGAGAGACATTATCATATGGATGACCACGCAAGCTGTACTTTCAACAAGGTTAACTCTAAAGAGGTCGTTATTGAGGGAACTGCAATGGTGTGTGAGCTTAGTATGCAAAATATGAAGTTTACGATTTCCGAATTTAAGGTAGATAGATGGAACTGATTGTATATTTGATGTTAAACAGGTTTTGAATAAATTTATAGAGGGCAATGATCAAACCGAGTTCTCTGAGTTATTCCAACAATGAAGAGTAGAAGGTAGAAAAGAAGAATTAGTAAGAGGCAGTCTGAAAGGAGGAATCCTATAGTCATTATTTTTACGTAAGGCGTAACGGTTATTTTCTTCAGTTAAGGGGGGCAAAAGATTAGATAAAGTTTCAAGAACAGTTTCGTAATAGAAATTATTAATAGGGGTATAAGAAGAGAAAGTTCTGATATAATGCAAGCAGCTTCATGTTGGGCTTTTTCTAAATTTTCAGATTCATATGTAGTGCCATCGTCTGATACCTCACAATCATAGTCTATGTGTCGTCTATTTTCTCTTTGTTGAATTGTTGAAAGGTTTCCAATTTACATTTTTTTGTTGCAAAAGTTATGCAATACATCTGGGTCTTTTCAGGATTAAAACTAAGTATTTAGGATCTCTAGGTCACTATTTAAAATTTCTTGAATTTCTGGACAAGTTGATGATGACTTTCATAATGACGTATCCTCTGCAAAAAGACGAGGTGTTAATAAATAGAAGAAATAAAATTGGTCCAAGAATAGAGCCTTGTGGAATGGAGCAACATGGCGGCGTTGGGTTAGAAGCGTATGAAGGAGCTCCGGTAATTTATCCTGAGAATGCCTCTCTAGTAACCCCGGAAAGTCCCCAATATTGGACTGTGTGACGGTGAGATCATTTCTAACATAATGATAACATTATTTTGAAAAAATATTTTGAAATATCCCCTTTGCGGACCATAATAGCATTCATTACCTGTATACCTGAGGTACACACATGTACCTGAACGATACCTGTGTTGCACGTGCAGACTACTATACTCACCTATGTGACATGTATGTTAGTACTGGAGTTACACCCTGGAAAGCTGTGGTTTATTTATGAACGTTTATTCGTACANGTAATTTCCATTTGTTTTGGATAAATCCCCGTTAATAAGGACATATTAAATGTTATTTTGAGGGGAGTACAAACAGTGTGAGAAGTATTTCTTAGCATATGGTGGCTGATTCAATTCCCACCCGGGGCCATGCGGAGCTTCAATATCTGTAGAACATCGCGTATTTCAGTGGAATTTAATCTAATTGAACTAATTTATTTTTCAGGTTTTGGCTCAATAATCGGAACATCTATGTAAATGTAACCTAAGACGAAACGTCATCGTCTCAAAAACAACACTAATTTAGCCAATGATGCAATAGAGAATACCATGGATTGAACACAGTGGTTAGTGACACAGAAAGAGTGAAGGAAGTTACGGCACCGTAGAATACAGATATATCTGTAACATGAGACACAGAAGAGATCAAAATAAGATCTGCCGCCCCATGGTGTGTCTCCGTGATAAACCGCAACACAACAAACCTCTGTTCATCGTAGTAATAGATAGAAATGAATGATAAATGTTGCCTAATACTCTATGAATAACAATACCAAAGAACTGTTGTCGTGAAATCAGCTTGGTGAAGTAAACATGTACATAGAATCCGTTCTTAGTTAAATCTGTGTTCACGGCAAGCTGACGAACTAATCAGTTCTTAATCAAATCTGTGTCCAGGGCAAGCTGACGAACTAATCCGTTCTTAGTTAAATCTGTGTCCACGGCAGGAGAAAATGGATAGAAATATTAGACTATGCAGAAATGTAATTTTAATAATACCAAGGTAAAAACAGCTTTTAATATTTTCCATGTTCTCCGTCTTTCCTCGATTCCTAGATAATTTTTCTTAATTAACTTATTTAGAAAAAAATCAATATTTTACTGGCCCAGATCTCTCTCTCTCTCTCTCTCTCTCTCTCTCGCTCTCTCTCTGATGATGATGATTATGATGCTGATTGACATTATACATAGAGGATAAGTATGAAGAAGATGCTCACCATGTAAAGATTATGATGATGAAGGTGAAGGTGATTATGATGATGATGATGATGCTGATTGGCATTATACATAGAGGAGAATGATGAATAAGATGCTCGCCATGTAAAGATTATGATGATGAAGGTGAAGGTGATTATGATGATGATGATGATTGTCACTGTGTATGGATGATGATTATGATGATGATGATGATGATAATGATGATTGTCACTGTGTATGGATGATGATGATGTTGCTGCTGCTGCTGCTGCTGCTGATGATGATGATGATTGTCACTGTGTATGGATGATGCTGCTGCTGCTGCTTGATGATGATTGAGAAACGCATGACTCTGTCTACAAGTGAGAGTTTGTGTGTAATGTCTGTTTGATGTAGATGTAGCAAAAAACTTGAAAAAATGAAACAATAGAAAAAAAAAATATATAAAATATACAGTTTAGAATATATTTGGTTTGAATATAGGCTGAGGCCTTTTGTGTTATTAAACTTTTACTTAGTTATAGCTCTTATCAGACCGTACCAAAATGCCAGGGCACAATATATGTATATCCTATATATATCTTCACTTGAAAAGACGACAGGTAAAGGAGAAACAAGACATGTGATTGCCAGCTATCAAATTTTACCTGCCCCTACCAATGTCGGTATAAATGGCCGAAAAGCAGTCTAAAGCACGTGTTGGTGATACCGCCATACTTGTTCCGATTCACGTCATTCGTTAATGTTCTAAATCGGATATCTTAATCAGATGTTCCATGGGTATTATAAGTCAAACGGTCACTCTCTCAGCCGATGTTGTTGTTCAAAATACGTGTGCTGATCTTCCGAAACTAAATATGAAAATGAACTATCAAAAATAAATTTACTCAAAAAAAAACCCCACTTCGTTTCATTTTGATTTTTCTTAAGAGTTGATGTTTTTTTAAGAAGTTTTATCCTACTTTGATCGTTTGATTGCTATCAAACGATCAAAGTATGTTTAAACTTTTTAAAAGGACGTGTTTTAAGCATATTACGACAAATTATGAAAGATGGACGTGTCATGAAACAGCTGTATTAACCTAGGGGGATTAGCCGGATAAGTGTTGGATTGGGAAAACGGGTTTAACGGTCTAATGCTTCATTGTATTAAAGGAGTAATCTCGACAGCTACGGGAACCTTTCATAGATACGCATTGTCATATACCCATAGTCACACGTATGTAAACAATTACAAGTCATACGAAATTTATCTTCAACTTAATGTTTTTTTTTAATGAATTACAAAATTGAATAAATGAATAAAATAATTACTTTCTTTAGTGTGGTATAATTTCTTTAAATCCGATTCTTGTGTACAGCATTCGTGTCGCTTTAACGTGTCCATTGTAGGATTAAATATATTTAATATGCACTAAATGAAGTGTAGGCAAATAGGTAAGGTTTCCCCTCCGAAAAAAATATGCGCGTGTGTGTCTTGCAAAATTTGGGGAATTTTGGTATAAACTGAGGGAAGTATCATTGAGTGTCAAGATGGACTCCTTGACCTTCAGATCGGCCTATAAACAACTCATCACACCTGTTCAGGTAAATATTAACAACTAATCACATCTGTACAGGTAAATATAAACAACTAATCACATCTGTACAGGTAAATATAAACAACCTTTTCACATCTGTTCAGGTAAATATAAACAACGCATCACTCCTGTTCAAGTAAATCATTACAACTATATACAAATGAAACGAAAGAGTTTAATCCACCAACGTTTTGAAAGGCCAGACTAAACTGTACAGGGATAATGTAAATATAGAGAATTCCCAGTACATAGTGCTTTTTGCAGATTTCATCGATTCAGTTGAAATAAGAACATTTATTTTTTTGTGGTTTGATTAGCAAATTACTACTAAAACACACCACTTGATTTGCGTTTGGAACGAATTTGAGACAAAGCCGTCATATTTTCTTTGTGACATTGTTATTTGTGTATGATTACACTGCGTTGTAGAAACCTGAAAATATGATCACGTATATAATACTCTATTTACCAAATAGAAAGTGTAGAGGTGTCCGTTCTAGCGAGAATTTGTCACATTAAACGTAAAACTCGGTACGTCTAAACCCCAATTTGTCTTACAATGTAATTTTGAGATCCCAACGGACGTTATTTACACAAGATTTTACGCAAAATATGACCTGGGTTTATTTTAAAGACAGCATGGAAAAATGCGATAAATAGTAACAGAGGTTCTCGTGTTACTGATATATTGTTATAAACATGGACTTCATATAGATATATCTATTTATTTTGTGCAAGTCAACACTAACAATCTACTGAACACTAATAATCAACTTTCATGCAAAAATCACAAAAAAACCCCAATATTATCATAACTTTTATTAAGTATTTCTATATACATGTATAAAATGTATCATAAACTGTGTTTTTTTTAAATTTATTTTTTATATTTTACAACAATTATGAAACAAGTTATTTCCCCGGAAGTTAGCGCGCGGGGGTCTTATTGTGGGAAGAAACCGGAGTACCCGGAGAAAACCCACGTGATCGGGCAACTGACCCCGGATACCTTTCACGTCCGTTCGAGGAATCGGTGAAAGACATATGCGTTATCGACTTTCGGTAAAAATGACACCCCTATCATATATAGGTGTATATGATCATTTGGGTGTCGTTTTTACCGAAAATCGATCTAAACCCCTAAAACATGTAAAATTACTCTGAACACCTTAGTTTAGGTCCAAATATAGCTGAAACAAATTCTCAGGTCCCTGTCGTTCTTATCAGAAAAAACCCCTTTAAAAAACCGACTTCAAAGACAAATTTTTAATGTAGACGGAAGATCTGGGCAATGGAACATGTACTTGCTATAAATTAAACAATTAAAAATCCACTATAAATCCGGTTGTGGCGCAGATGTTTTGTCATTTTTAATTAAATATTCAATTACAACAAATATAAGTACACTTGTTATCTGTCCGTCAACTGGTATGATAGTTTATATCGGGAGATGTTTAACACGCCTATCACAAAATACTCTTTTTATGGTATACAATGAGAGTATTGGACAGACCCTTTATGGTATAAAATGAGAGTATTGGACAGACCCTTTATG